ATCCCACTTACAATTCCCACACCAGCTCTCTGCCCACGTTAGTGACAGCATCCTCGCCCTCCTCACACACAACCACCCTGGAGCAGCACCAACACCAGGACTGAGTGTTTTCCTTCACAGCTTTCTCCATGAAGGAATTGGGCAGTGGCACAGGCAAAGCAAAGAGCCTCATGATGCCATCCAGAGCTGTCGTGGCATTGGGAAGGACATGAATCAATACAGGCTGGTGGCCAAAGCCCTCAGACCACGGGGCAGCTGCAGGAGCCCTGATCGAATGGAAAGGGAAAATGATTCCATTTTGACTACAAGTCACAACCAGCACTTGCATGGTTTCCCTCTGATTCCCTTTGCTTGACGTGCCCCCAGGCTCCGAATCCATCTCATCAGCTCTTTTATTTGCTTCTGTGCTTGGAACAAATGTTTTATGCATGTTTATACAACATTTTTGTATGATCTGCTCTGCCAATGGATTTCCAAAGGAAACGAATGGGGTGCAGTGGTCATGTACTGGGGTGAAAGCCACTTAATGCCCATGTAAAACCACCTCCCTGGCCACAAAGCCACATGAAGATGGCTACCAGCACATTAAAACCTGTTCACTGCACAAGGTGAGCTTGTTTTCTGGTTCACTGTTCAGGACACAAGTCCCTGCAGCTCCAGGCACTGCCAGGCTGGAGGCTTTTCCACATGGAAGCCCCTGTCCAAGCACATGGTGGTCAAGCTTCCCATGACGGCAGAGAGAGCGACCAGTTATCCATCCATCCATCCATCCATCCATCCCCCTCTTTGCCCCTCCTGCACCTCTCAGTCTGTCCATCCATCCCCTCTGTACTATCTGGGTACAACCCTCCTGTCTGTGTGCTCAGGGGACAGGGATGCTGCAGCAGCCAGTGCTGGCACCGGCTGCTGCTGCACAGGCTCAAGGTCGGCTGCAGAGAGCCTGGAACAGAAAACCTTCACACGGGTCCTTTCTCAGGTGTTTTTTTTCCTCCCACAGCTGTTGATGATACCCTTTTACTGGAACAACTCACTGGTGCTGACAGATAAGCTTTCAGGGTGGTGAAATCTCCGTGACACTTTAAGTGCCCTACATGACAAAACAAGGATGTGCAGAATCACCCCGCTGGTATTCCATAAAACACAACTTGTCACAAACCTGCGTGTTGCTTCAGCCACCCGGTGAGGACAGGCCACCCCGGCCTGCCTGGGGCAATCCTGCCCTCAAAGCAGCCGACACGGGCAGAAGGAAGGGAGAGCAGAGGGAAAAACATGGGTTGTGGCGAGAAAGAGCCCCCCGAGGGGGATGGAGCCTCTTCCTGCACCCCAGTGATGGATGGGAGCCAAATGGCTGGGAATTGCTGGGTTCTGAAGCAATGCTTTAGGTGTTGTGCTGAAGGAGCTCAGTGCTGTGTGTGAGATACTGACGGGACATGGGGAGGGAGAGGTGACACTCAGACAGAGCCCTCCCCGGCACTAGTGGGGAGAAGAGAATAAATGGGCATGAGTAGCCAGACACTGTAATGGTGGGATAGAGCCCAACACAGAAATGGTTTCAATTACTCCAAAAGGCCAGGACAGCAAAAGGATGATTCACGTGCAAAACCTTCAACACTTCCAGTACGAGACGCCTGCCCACTGCGGATGTTCTCCCTGCAGACCCCAGTGTGGTGCCGGGACAGGGACATGAATCCCAGCTGCTTCCAAGCGGGTGCCCGTGCACGGTGCACCCCGGGGTGCCAGTGCCCCCCAGCAGGGCT